TCACCTGGAACGTCACAGTCAGCATCACCATCACCGTTACCCTCATCTTCATCCCACCGCAGGGCTACGCCCACATCTCCAGCAAGCCCCGCCGCCACAACAGCGAGCCCATCCCGTACTCAGGCACCTGTCTCACCTCGCCGCAGCACTGCAGTGTCTGCAGCTGACGTCCCAGCATCCTCTGAGAGTCCTGTGAGTCCAGACAGCCCCGCCCCCGGACCACCCACCAGCCCCAAACCACACATGAATGAGACCAGCTTCTGACTGGCTGATCAGAAGAGCGGGAAACTTAGACAAACACTTCCTGTCGGAACGTTTTCAGCACATCTGGATTTCTGTCGTCACCAGCCGAGTCAGGAAGCCAGTCAGCTGTGAGGGAGCTTGTTGCCATGGTTACCACACGCCCTGGGTTATTTACTGGCTTCCAACTAATGAAGTAACATCGTGAGAGAACTGAACCTGCCAAACAAAACGACTTCCACAGTTTTTCTAAAGCTGCTCTAATCAATAGTTTTACATGATCAATAAATCCACTGACTGTGTGTGTAAGGTTGTAAGGGGTTGAACCTACTGAGGACTGACCACCAGTCAGCGTCGATAACCTGCTACTCTCTGCACTCTCAGTGAGGACGGCGGCAGGTCAAAGGTCAAAACAAAAACCAAACGCGTCAGACAGAAGTAAACACGGACGGAAACATGCATGTTGGAGCTAGTTAGCTCCACTGTTAGCATTATTAGCATTAGCAGCTCTGGTGTGAGCTTTCACAGTCCAGTTATTCCTGATACTTAAATCATTTCCTCTTCTAAAATAAATGCACTGTTTCTGTTTAACCACAGAGTCTTAGCATTAGCAGCTGATAAAATGCAACTGCACAGAAATAGAAAAGCTGCTTTTATTTACTTCTGTATCAAGTGGTCGCTGTCAATCTGCCGCCGTTATCAAACAGGATGAGAGCAGCAGGAGTCTAAGTCTTTTTAAACAAGAGGTTTGTATGAAAGCTTTTTTAAATGTCTGTCTGGTAAACTTAATCTGTCATATCTGATTCTGTTCAACAGTAAAAACTGATGACCAAACTGCTTTTGGACTCATTTGTAAGTGTTTTATTCCAAAAGCACAAACTTGTTCCACTAACAAAGGTTGTTCAGCGCTTTACAGGGTCTGGCCTAAGTAACAATACACACACCTGGGTTTTAGTGTTGCACTTGTGCTTCATGTTGTATTAAATGCGTCTTGGCCTGGTCGCCCTGGAGGAAAAGGTTGTTCACTTCA